GATAGACTTTTCTTATATTGGATGATCTTGGCAGTTTTGAAGAATACTAGTGATGTGATTGTCACTCAGTTGGAATTTCTCTGATTTTTTTCTCATGATTAGAGGGGATTTATATGTTTTGAGATTCTGGTCATTTTTCTTCGTGCTTTTTTTTCTCCCCTGAATAGTTTTAGTTGACCTATCTTTGTGTTCTCAGCTTCTTTCCTCTGTTAACTCTAGTTTGCTGTTGAACTCTTATTGTTCATAAAAAGAAAAATAAATGCTTATTTATTTCAGTTGTACATTTCAACTTCAGAATTTCACTTTGTTTCTATTTTTATAATTTCGATTTCTTTATTGATATTCTCTTTTTGTTGGAACAATATTCTCATACTTTCTTTTAAGTTTAACTGTTTTCTCATTTGCCCTGAGAACACTAGCTGGCAGTGCTTGCAGCTGCAGCATTTACCCTGAGATAACTTTGCCATGAAATATCTTGCTTTTATTAATTGTTTTTGCATTGCTCTAGCATATAGACTTTGGAAACAAAAGATGTCATTCTGCTTACAGGATGTGCTTTTAGTAGTGGTGTTTCCATTTACAAAATGTAGTAATTCTCAATCACCAAAAATGTCAAATCCTAGAAAACAGCATTCCTATGCATAATGTTAACGTTGTTCTCCAACAGTTGTTGGCTGAAGATTTATTCGACGAATTAAATTTTTCCAAAATACACGATTCTGATGTTTGAGATGATCCTGGTGTTTGTTCTGTTTAGAAATAACTCCAAGAACAGTTTTTATATTTTATTTTTACATTGAAAATTAGTCAGACTTGCTTCAGCCTCAAAGATTGTATTTATGTAAAATTAAATGACCACTGGCAGTAAGCTGCACTTGTTTTTTTTTCTAAACAGGAAAATAATTTATTTACATGGTTTCTTTTCCTTTCTTGAACATATTTATAATAGGCCATTAAAGGTCTTTGTCCAAGACTTCCCCACAGAGTTTCTATTCACTTTTTTTCCTTATGTATGGGTCAGATCTTCCTGTTTGTGTGTCTTATAATTAAGTATCAATTCACACTATTACAAATTCTCAGGGTTTGTTGTTGTTGCTGTTGCTTCTACTTTTGTTTTGTTTTGTTTTGTTTTTGTTTAGTGACTCTCCTGGACTAATTCTGTAACGTCTATATTCCCTCTTGCATACTGCAACTAACATCTCTAGTTGATTAGCTTAGTGGTCAGCAATTGAATAGAGATATCTCTCAATATCTTGAACCAATACATTTTCCATTGCTAAGAAACTCTGTGAGTGGATTGCAGCATGTTTTCAGTGCTCTGGCAGTTTACAATTTTCCCTTAGCCTTTACTTCCTGCTTGTGCAACATTTCGAAGTCAGCCAAAGGTGAGAGATTTGTACCTCTTCATGTCTTTCCTAGGCATCCATACAGTCCTACACATGCATATGGCCTCAGAGTCCCTAATAGGCATCTCATTCATAGGTCTTCCTTTTTTAGGTTTTGGCCAGGCTCTTTTTTGCTCCACCTGGTTTTACTGTCTCAGGTAACTTTGATTATAAATAATTGCTATGATTGTTTTTTACCAACACCCTTGAGATAGGACTTTTTTCAGTGAGCAAGCTTCATCAGGTCAAATAGTGACAAGGCCTGAAAATGGAGAGTTTCAAAACACGACTGGTTAGTTAAATAGCAACACTCTGGGCCGGGTGTGACAGCTCACACCTATAACCCCAACACATTGGGTGGCTCAGGTGGCTGGATGCCCTGAGATCAGGAGTTTGAGACCAGCCTGGCCAATATGGTAAAACCCCATCTCTGCTAAAAATACAAAATATTATCTGTCTGTGGTGGAAGGCGATGTACTCAGCTATTTGGGAGGCTGAGGCAGGAGAGTAGCTTGAACCTGGGAGGTGAAGGTTGCAGTGAACCAAGATTGCACCATTGCACTCCAGCCTGGGTGACAGAGCAACACTCTGTCTTAAAAAAAAATAAAAAGCAACGCTCTGAAGATAGGTCTTTTGAAGGTGCTTCAAATCTGTCTGCTTTGATAACTGCCAAACTGGTGGTTTTTATAGCTGCCATGGTTGTAAGTCTGCTGCTGGTTTTCACAGCCACCATGGAGCAAGGGAGAGGGATGTGGAAATGGAGCAAGCTAAAGTGACAAAAAGCTCTCTGTTGTTACCACTATTCAGCAGCTCTTCTTAAATAAATGCTCCTTGAGTTGTTGCAAACCTTTAGCTAATTTCCAGAGTTATGAAAAAGTTGATTTTTACAATTTTTGTTAGTGTTATTGTTGCCTTTAAAGACAAACAGATTTTTGGAGGTTCTCACTCTACTATTTATGAAGATCTACTTCAAATCCATAATATTTTAAGCTGATACTTCCTGCTCAAGTATTTCTTGGTTTTGTTTGCCTATAATGATAGGCCTTTGTGAAGCTGCACCTATGTTATAAGACTTCTGGGCAAAAGCATCTCTGATATTTCCACACTAGAGGTGAATTATTCTTTCATAAAACAGATTAGGCTAATTTTACATATAGTAACTGTATGATACAAAAGAAGCCATAGATTAAAACTATATTGTCATGACAAATAAACTCTTTTTTGCTAATCTCATCCAATTTCTTGAGCTTCTAGTATACAGGGTAACATTCTAATCCATACCTACATCTCATATCATGCATCTCTTCCTCAAGGGCATGGCATATAAATTCATTGTTAGCCCCAGCCGCCCCCTCTGCCTGCCCTCTCAGCCCTTTGCTCCCTCTGTTCCTAGCTTTGCTGCCACCAGTGGAAGCTAGATTAGGCTCCAAGGTATAAGAATGCCGGGGTAAGTAGGTCAGTGTCCATGCCTTCCTCCTCTTTTTTGCGCTTTCTCAGGAGTTCTTACACGTGCAGATTGATGGGTTGTAACTTGCACGTAACCAGATTTCCAATCCTTTTGTTGTTGTTGCTGCAGTTTATCCTTTATCGAAGTTAGAGATTCAACTTAAGCATTTAACTTTTATAACACTGATCACTTTTTTGTCAATTTCTTTATCTGTGTTTCTTTCACATTGTGCAAAACACCATGAAGTTAGGGGTATGAGGTTATTTTTCTTTGTATCTCTAGAGCTTAACATAGGCCTGGTGCATATTTAGCTTTCACTAAATGTATTTTAGATTAATGAATGCCTACATTTCCTAGTAAATTCTACAGAGAGAGACCTTGTTTAGACTTCCCAACATGAAGCTAAAGCTACACTCACATCTGTAGGTGTGATATCCCCATCAGCTTAAGAAACTCGAGTGTTCCAGTCTCTGTCATTCTCAAGGTCATGGCCACACTCATTCACCTTTCCAGCTATATTTCCCATCAACCTAGAATCCTAACCTAAGCTTCTGTGGTCCACATGCACATCATGTGTTTTTGTTATGCCTCGTACCTTTGCAAATTAATATTATTTTTTCACTTCTATCATGAGAACTTGTATTTATTCTGAAGGGCCAGGTAAAAATTTTCTCCTTCTCTAAACTCTGCTTTTACTTTCTTAGTAGATTTAGTTTCCCTTTTCTCTTTATTCTAATAATACTTTGAACAACCCTTTCCTTATTACATTATTTTTATCAAGTTATAATTATTTATTTATCTATCAGTTCTTATCAGATCAGTAGCTAAATCAGTTCTGATAAGAACTTACCTGCCAAATGAAGGCGCCCAAGCAATGTTTGATGAATGATAAATGAATGTTTACTCCTCAACTAGATTGCAAATATCCTGAAAGTTGCAGAGCGTGTTTATTCTTTGTGCTCCAAGCATTGTCCTGGCTCATAATATTGTTTTCAATGAATAAATTAGTGATGTCAGAGAGTATGTCTACTTAACCATGGAAGGGTTCAAGGACTATCCTGACTAGATCACAGATGCAGTGTTTCAGGTATACCGAAGTAGCTCTTGTTGGCAGGACCACAGAGGGCCTATGTGTGAAATGGAAAAAGGGTTCCTATCTAGCTGGAAGCAGTTGTAAAAATGCAGGCCTTGGTGAACAGAGAAGTCTTTGTACAAGGAAAAAGGAGCCCCATTTTGGAAGAAGCAGTCTCATGCCAGGGACAGGGCTTAGCAATCTCAGTAGAGGGTGGATTTCACATTCTTGCTCCACTTTTGGACACCTGTGTGTCCTGTGTGACAGTGCTGCTTATCATATACTACAAAGGACTAACTTTCTTTCTCACTAAGAGTCATTCCATTCCTTAATGTGGGAAGAGGGTTCTACTTGTATTGAGAACGAAATATCATCCATCTTCAATTCTTGGAACAACCCATTTTTTCCCCAGGGCACATGATCTTTTAAATAAGACAAGGATAAGTCAGTCTCATAGGTATGACCTTTGTAATGGTATATTTGGTGAGGAAAATAATCCCTTTTTTGTCATAGCCTAATTTTTAGACATCTTGTGCCAGGGCTCATGATTTGGGGATCTTATCTAATACTTTTAGTTTTTTAGTTTAAAATGTAAACTGGAAATATATTTTGTAAATAACTCAGAGTTACTCATCTTGGAAATGATTTAATTCTAGGAATAACTCATCTAACTCTGAAAGAATACCCTGATTTGAATACTTTTATTACTTCACAAATGTGAAAATTGAGAGGGTTTGTCTTTTTTTTTTTATTTTTGAGACGGAGTCTCGCTCTGTCGCCAGGCTGGAGTGCAGTGGCATGATCTTGGCTTACTGCAACCTTCAGCTCCCAGGTTCAAGCCATTCTCTTGCCTCAGCCTCCCGAGTAGCTGGTACTATAGGCGCACACCACCACACCCAGCTAATTTTTGTATTTTTAGTAGAGACGGGGTTTCACCATGTTGGCCAGGATGGTCTTCATCTCTTGACCTTGTGATCTGCCTACCTCAGCTTCCCAACATGTTGGAATTACAGGCGTGAGCCACTGCGCCTGGCCAGATTTGTCTTTTTAAAAGTAAACTGTCAAGACAATTTCTGGGAGGACAGCTACTACTTACCTTGTAAGAAGATGTATTCCCTCTCCAGATGGCAAGAAGGGAAGGAGATAGGTAGCCTCTTGGCAAGTAAGGATTGCTAGTAGAGAGGGAAAAGGCTTTTTCTAACATACATTTCTTATTCCCTCAGAGGTTATCGTTTACCCCATATGCTCTGTCTCCAGGAGAAAGATGTCCCAGTGGTTTTTCTGTGTTAAAAAGAAAAACAACTGTTGATCATCCTGTCATTCCAATTCTACCCATGCTTTAACAAGATTTGGCTTCCACCAATTGACACACAAGTTATGTTCCCCAAATTTTGATTGATTAGAAATAAACTTCTAGAAAGAAGTATTGTTATACCTGCATACTTTGGCAAGTTCATAAAAGATATTTAAACCCTACTAGGTAACTGAACTATAACATTAACAGGCTTATTAACTGCATTCTGGGAGCCACATGATACAAGTAAGAAAAAGAGAAAACTCTTCCCTCTTTTTCATGAGTGCAGGGCTAAGCATTGACAAAATTTGGAAATTGGCAATGTTTGCTTTTGGACTCGCCCTCCTGAATCGATTTTAGCATGACCCTAAAATCTGTAGCCCAAGATTATAACCCAGACCAAAACTCTGACAGATGGCTCTCAGTTCATGTCTTTCCAATTATGTGTAGTGAGCAGAGCACACAGGACTCCTAGGATGGGAAGGGCATGAAAGGACAACTGTGATGGGAGATCAAAAGGGGTGATAGATGCCTGCCCAGAGAATGGAAGCACATGTCGTTGATTTGACTATCTTCTTTCACAATCATACTCTTCCAAACATGGTCTGCTTTACCTGAGTCATTTTAGGCAAATGTTGTATCTCCAACTGTATGGTGATTTGTGGAGAAACAAAATGCAAAATTGGACCTGAGAAGACCTTCAAAAAAGTGTGTTTAGTCTCATGCTGAAAAGGTTTTCTTGTAGCATGCATTATCTCTGTCTCCTCCAAGGCCTGTTTCTCTTTTACTAATTTAAAATATTTTATTTGAAGTTTGATTGATGTAGTATATACTAAGTATATGTCGCTAAGTATTTCTGTTAAAAGAATTATTAGTACACAGAGGAAATAGGACAGTAAGTTGCCCCACATGTCCGCAACATCAATTCAAGGTATTGCATCACTACTTTTCTTGACATTGGCCATCCATGATGCTGGCTCCTCATTCATATTATGAAATCACTCGTACATTTCCTCAGCTCCACATCCTTTTAGGGGATGGGCGCTTTTAGGTTAGACTATAAGAGGTTTAAAAACATGCTAAGATGTTATATACTCTCTGTCTATATGTATAAATGTATGATTTTTTTCTGTAAAAAAAATGTTCCATAGCTCTCAGATTTTCAAAGGTATCTGTGATTCAAAAACAAAAGACTTGGAACCACTACCTGAATGCAATCTCTTGAGAAATAGTATACTAGGAACAGTATATGAAGTTTAGGTGTTGTGACTTCTGTATTCACTTCTGAAGAAACTCTATTGTTAATTTAGAGCAGAAAAGTTTTAGTGTAGCCATTTAAGAAAAATGAATGCATACAGTTGAGGTAGACATGGTTAATTAAAAATCTCAATGCATTTACATTAGAGTGGTTTTAGAGAAGAATGATACAGTTAAAAGAACACGAAATAATTCAGATTATTGGATCATAATACTTCTGATATTTGTTGTTTGTATTTAGTTTAATGCTAATGTGTAATTATGTAAAATATTTTACCGTCCAGGGTTTCAAGTGCCAAACTTAATAATTTTTCTCGCTTGGAGCCAACACTTCACCTTCTGGGTGTGCAGTTTGATCAGAATGTGGCCCATGGCATCATCACAGAAAAGCCTGGGGTGGCAACAAAGCTTTTATATCAATTGTACATTGCTCTTCAGAAAAAGAAGAAAAGTGGATTGACTAGATTGGAGATGCAAACCATGCAACCGCTGCCAAATTTAAGACTTCAAAACATGAGAAGGGATACTTTTCAAGAGGTAGGTACATAAAAAAGCATAATAAGCATGTCACAATGTAAAACTTGGTAAAGAGAAATGACAATGATATTGAATTCACAAAGAAGCCTTGCTAGGTATATATATCCTTTACATATGTTACTGGCCTTACTTGGGTTTTATTTTATATTCATGTTTTGAATTTATTTATGCATTTTTGATGTCTCTGTCTATCCTATCCATATTGGCAATAGCTTATCAAACTCTTTTTATAATTTCCAATACTTTTTTGTTGTTGTTTTGAGACTCAGGACCTTGCTCTTTTGCCGATGCTGGTCTCGAACTCCTGAGTTCAAGCCGTCCTCCCACCTGAGCCTCCCAAGTAGCTGGGACTACAGGCCTAGTACTTTTTGTGCCTGCTCCTCTCTTCCTGTTTCTACCCTGTCATTTCTGCTCAGATCTTATCAGCTACTGCAGCAACCTGCTAAAATGTCTCTTAATCTTCAGTCTTTCTGGAAAAGTCAATCAACTGCTAAATGAATCTTTCCTAAGTTTAACTTTTATTGGATTCTTCTGCTCAGAAACCTATTTTTACTTTTTTCTAGTCCTCAGCATAGTGTTTCTTTCTTCTGCATTAATTGACAATCTGCTTAAACACGGCTATTCCTGCTCTTCCTTCCCTCACACCCAAACTCACCCTTCTCATCTCTCCTCTTCCTCAAACTGTTCTTCTCTGTCTACTGTCCAGCCCAGTACACGTGGTTTCTTCCTTTGGAACTCTACAGTAAAATTCTCATGTTCTTGGTTTTACCAAGAACTGATATTGTTGGCTAACTATTCATTATTTATTTGTCATATGATCTTACCAGATTTTTAGTACATTGGATTTGATGAATATGTCTAGTACAATGCTTCAAACATTGTAAATACTCATTAAATGTGTTACTGACTAATTGATACGACTTTTTAGTTGACAATTCTCTCCAGTTCTTATGCAATTCCCTATGGTAAACAAAGTGCATTAACTTTTAAAGGGCCTCTGGAATAATCTTGAGTGCTGCACTAATGCAAAATAGTAAATATAAATGAACAGAATTATATTTTTAAATTTAATTTTTGAAGCAGCAATGACATAATAGATATGAGGGCCATCTCCGTGTTTATATTTGTCCATTCTTCATGGATATCGTTACAAGTCTGGTAGCAGAATGGACTCAGCACTCTTTGAGAACTAGAAATCAGATTAGGCTTAATATGAATAATTTAATATTGCATTAGGCCTCATTCACTTGCAAGCGGGTTAACTTTGAGCCATCCTCTAAACAACTCTCAGCTTCAATTTTCCCAACTATAAAAACAAGGATGCTTATTTCTTCCTGCCTCAGAGTTCAGAAGTAGACATATTTGCAGCTTCAAGAAGAAGCGTGGATTAACTGGAGTGGAGTTTATACACAGTTTATATATAATAAACTGCAAAGCAGTCAACAGTAGCAAGTGCTATAAGAACTGTGTAGATGAAGACAAAACAAGAGCCTATTAGATCATTTGATGTTGGTCACGGGTGAACTTCCAGAGTCAATAGTTCATTCACTGAACAAATATTTATTGGGCTCCTACTTTTTGTCAAGCACTTGCACAACAAACACACAGGAAAAGCCCCAACCCTCTTAAAGCTTATGTATTAGGGAGAGAATCATGTTCTATTGGAGTGGTATGGAATGCATTGAGTTAAGGACATTGGAAATGAGGAAGAGGGTAGCATATATTATTCTTTCAAGAAATGTGGAGGTAAAGAAGAGAATAGTAGGAGAGAAAAGCTCAAGTGAAGTATGAGATTGCTTGTTTTATGGACTGAGAGACTGGGCAACTTGTCAGTTGAAAAAAGAATCAATGGCAGGAGAGATGAAAATGGGACAAGGACCAGATGGAAAAAGACCTCCTGGGGATGAAACGAGGAGTATGCAATCAATGGTTTGTATGGAAGAGGTGATATCCTAGCAAAGAAGTAGAAATGTCATCTTCTTTGATACTAGATGAGAAGAGATGCAGGTAGTACTAATAATGGTTAAAATTTATTGAACCTACCTAGTGACATGCCAAGCCCTGTGTTAGATGCCTTATAAATGTTATCTCACTTAATCTTCACAAGAGTCATAAAAGATAGGTACTTTTAATATTGCGTTTTACAGATGAGGAAACTAAAGCCCAATGGATTAGGTAACTTGCCCAATTTCATGCAGCTAGTAGGTAGTAAAGCTGAAACACAAATATAGGAAGTTTTAATGTTTCTTTACTTTTTACTAAGGAGTGGCTAAGCAATGGGAAGAATCTGGCTTCTTATACTATCTCTTATATGTTAAAATTGGTTTAATGAAATTATTTCTGTAAAAATGTATTTCCAAGAATATAAATACCATTTACTGAAAATTAAACTCAGTTAAAAAGTTTAACTCTACAAGTATATATGAGGCTATTTTGTAAGAAGTAGCACAAATGATAATGTTTTTGTAGTTGCACTTACGTCAATTAAGAATATGAGTAATTGAAATGGGCTTGAATTTAGCCTAACAACAATTGTAATTCAAAGAATTTCATTTTGAAGGCAAATTTTATTTGTGCTTATAATGAAAATGTACTCTTCATTCTCTAATAACAAAATCTTTTGAAATGCTTTTTTCATTTAGAGACTTAGACACATGATACCACGTCAAACTGATTTAAATCTGATGCAGGTTACATACAGGTTTCAAGAAAAATATAAACACGTGAAAGAAGATCTTGCCCATTTGCATTTTGAGGAACTTGAAAGATTTCAAAAACTCAAGGAAGAGCAAAGATATTTTGATATCAAAAAGGTTTCATAGAACTATTTTTTCAGAAATTTATTAGTAGCACATTGTATACTGTTTGTGATTTATGCCTATAGTACAAATTGCCTGAGCAGTAATGTAGCATAAGTTGCACTTTCCTGATGCGTGACTTTGTCCTGCCCTACTCCCACCCTTTCTCTCTCTCCCTTGCTCCTTTTTTCTCTCTCCCTTGCTCCTTTTCTCCATCCTGACTCTTGCTGACTGTTACCTACTTGGGGCTGAGAACAAGAACTGCTATCCTCTGGAGTAGCAAGACAACTGGATCTCCTTCACTGGTAGAAATCAATGTTTCAGCTGCTTTAGTGATGGAAGGTTGCTACTAGCTACCCCATTGATCAAAGGCACGTGACCATTGTCACCACCGAGGGAGATAGATCAGACATTATCCCCTTGCTTTCTCCTCTTTTGCAACCACTTGGTCTTTTGGTCCTGCCCCATTTCTCTGTTCTTGGAAGTGTGAGATAATTCTTTGCTTGCATACCTCTTCAATCACCCTGAACAACTCTTAACTTCTTTCTGACTCTTCCTTCTTGCTTTGACTAACTCTCTGCTCCTTCTCAAATTTCTTTAAAACTCTTTAAAGATCTTCTGTGCCTTTATGGATGAGAGAATAATGGTACATAGAATCATTAAAGCTTTTTAAGAGCATTTCAGGTGACTGGGTATATGGAATGTGTAAACTACAGGCTAAACAATTATGTAGTTCTTCCCATTGTACTGTAAAATCACTTTTTAAATTTATGTATTTATTTGGAATGATAAGAAATTAACATACTCTGAATGTAGTCAGCTCCTTGTGGGGAAGAAAGAAAAGATGAGAGACAAACTGGAAGATCATGTAATTCTCTTACTTGCCAGAGGGTAAATAAAGGGTTATACTTCCCTTTGGTGTTACATGGTAAAGAGACAAAGCACTCTTTAAGTAGTGTCTGAGACCAACTGCTTTGACTCTTTATGTGGAACCAGCCTATCCATTCGTGTCAAGCCCAATGCAGACAGTCTCCAAGAAAGCTGAGGAAAAGGAAATATAATGCCATTAAACAGTCTGAAATAAATTATGTTCAAATAATCACAGGGAGCAAATAAGGCAAAAGGGAGACCCTGTGTCTTCCAGATCTTCTTAGGAAAGAAGAGATAAACATATTGCAATTAAACAAATATTTGTATTTTGGAAAATGAAATGAAAATTGTCTATTATTTATGCCTTTTTAGTGGTAAATTGAAATTTTTTATCTTTGGACATGGGAGCTAATGATCCTATTAGTTCTAATATAATGTATTAGTAGTAAAGTAATGATTAGTTTTACATGTTACTTCCTAAATCACTTACTTTTAAAATATTTTATCTGATTTTCAGATCCTTTTTCTTTTCAATTATAATTCTCCTGCTTATATTCTTCTTAAAATAACTACTGCCTACATACAGAAGAGATCATCCAATAATGATACCATATAATTTAGTGCTAATTCAGTATGTGAGGTTGCCCCTGAATTCATTGTTTAAGTGTAGCTGGTTTTGGAGGTTTGTCTTTTTTTTTTTTTGAGACGGAGTTTCGCTCTTGCTACCCAGGCTGGAGTGCAATGGCGCGATCTCGGCTCACCACAATCTCCGCCTCCTGGGTTCAGGCAATTCTCCCGCCTCAGCCTCCTGAGTAGCTGGAGGTTTGTCATTTTTATTGGGTTTCCCAGGAGCCCTGCTAGAAATTGCTTCCTAGATAGAATTTTCTCATTGGACCATCTTCAGAGAGAGAATATTTTTCTTCCCATGTTTGGTAAGGTCATGACAGTAGGATTGGAAAAGAATTATACTCTTATTTATATTTGGGACATCTTTATTGTCCTTTTGGTATCATTACACAGAATGAAAATACAGGCATTTAATAGATATAATTTGCAGATTCCAGAATTGTGTTTTAACATTATGCTTTTCACAGTAAGTCATATTGACACCTGCTTCTTAACATTACACAATTGTGACACCTAGTCCCTTGGCTAATTGCTGGGTTCTGAAAATTTCAATAGATAAATTTTATATATTTGTACCTGTGA